GCCATCGCCATCTTTGTTACGACTGAACCACGACTGAACTGAAAACCTGTCTCTACACTCAGTTCACAAAAGTGCGCACCGGTTCACTTTTTTGAGTTAAACTGAGTCCAACCGAAAATTCAAAAACTGACCCGGTTCGCACTGCTCTTACGAGTCGAAAACAAATTTTGCACCGAGTGTTAAAAAGTGCGCACCAGTTTCACCAGTCGAAAACGCTAATAGTAAATAACAGGAATCCTTACCTGGCATTGCCATAGAAATAATAGAATGTTATTTTCAAACAAAAAAATACATAGCTTGAAGGTTGTTGCTACGTCTGCGCAATACGGTTTAGAACGTTTAGAGCAATGGTGCCCAGATCGCGAGAAGCCTTTTGACCGATCTCCGAAGATCCTATATTGTCCGTTTGTCGTCATTCGCTCGTTCAGACAGTGGGCCCTTGAGAAAAACAATCAAATGCGAAGAAACCCCGTATATAATACGTGACAACCTCGGAAAAAGCATCAGTGTGCAAAGAGTACCTTTTTTTGCTCTTCAATGAATCAGACCATGAAAAACAAATGATAGGTGGGCCCTTCTCCCTCCTGTACCGGTAGGCCCTGGAGGTCCCAATCCGACACTGGTCTTGAGGGATTACAAACTTTTGGTACAAGGTGTCGATATTCCAGTTATAGGTTGAAAAAAGTATGGGCACCACTGGTTTAGAGTATACAAATTTGCTAGTTAAATAATGTTCAATAAATGGTTAATCGATAACAAAAATATAGAACACAGTGAGCCCAAATTTCGTAAGAAGGACGAAACCTACATTCACATTCTGAATGAATAGGAAGCGAAGCACAATAGGGTACTAGGAAGCGTAGCCAATAGAAAGGGACGAGTTGCTTAGCTTGGACCCTTGGGAAGATAGGTTCGTTATAGAAGTCGAGACTATTTTCTTGTTGCCTTAGAGATAGAAGGAAGCACAATAGATCTTTTAGGTCGCAGTGTATCCAACACCCCATACAAGGTTACCTATATGAAAAAAAAAAAAAAAGGAAATAAACAGTTTTTTAAAAATATAAATGCAGATCTATTTATTCAGTTTTTCACAAACAATATAGAATTATTTTTATTTAGTAAGGAACGTAGATGATATTCTATTCAATATGAATTATTCTATCTAAATAATACCGGAGGAAAATTGAGATTAAATTCTAAACAGTAATTCTTCTAAGCAGTGTGAATTTGACACTTTTTAGAAGAATAATTCTAACCAGTAATGTTCTTCTAAGTAGTGTGAATCTTACACTTTTTAACAAAACTCATAATAAACATAGGTTTAAACTATAAAACAAATGGTATTTATTTACGATATAACAAGCACTAGGTCACTAGTGTATGTCACTATGATATTCAAAGAGAATGATGAAAGCTTATAATTATACATGGTAGTAGATAAAATAAGTTACACATGTGGCAGTAAGAATATTAAGAATGTAAAATAGGAAAACCATATTTTATATAAAATGAATTTGAAGAATAAAGCAATCCAAGGGATAAACCACTAAGATCAAAGGTACCCGTATTAAAGAAATCACCAAAATTTTGTATTATTTCGGCGATTTCACCGAAATTTTCTACACATTTGTGGATGATTCCTGAGAAATTATCCATCCCAAGTAACATATAAAGTCACGAAAACGTATCGACAACTATAAAAGCTGCGATAAAGCGGACCGCTACTAATGGCGGCCACGTTCCTGCTACGTAGCCACCACTAAAATGGGGAAAAATTTTAGTCGCCGAGTAGTCCCGGCCTCTATTCAAAATGTTAACTTTTCAAACCTGACTTCAGAGAACGGTATAGGAAAACCAGTGCTATTGAATAGACAGATATAGAGCATATAGAGGTGTAACCATGCATCCAATCGCGGCAGGCAGATAGGCGAATTATATCTCCGGAGCTCATTCAACTTTACCCAAAAGCGCCTAACAGAGGAAGAAAACGAGGTCGGTGCATGCTAGAAGAAAAAGAAAGGAAACAAAAAGAAGTTAAAATTTTGGCAAAAAAGAAGAAAGGGGGCGTCCATTAATTACGTGAGGTATTTTTGAGGATTTTTTGACCCCCTCTCCCCCCCCTGGTGAGATTTCGTAAGATTTTCCTCAACTCCCTCCCCCCTCCCCTAATCTCTCGTGAGATTTTTCAAAATTTGTGTTTTAGGTGTAAATGCGTTGGATTATTAAAAAAACAAACACAATATGTTTTATTACTTTTATTTAAGACTAAAAATTTCTAGAAACATGCTTTACTTTAATTTAATTTTCACGCAATTTTACACCGTTTTCTACTAGAAAAAAAAATACGTCAGATTTACAAAGACCCCCTCTCCCCCAAGTGAGATTTGGAAAGATTTAGCTTGATCCCCTCCCCCCCTTGAACACCTCACGTAATTAATGGACGCCCCCAAAGCAGTTACAAAAAAGGTTTTGCAGGATGAGTCATCTGATGATGAGAGCAATATATTAATAGAATATGCAGATTCTGCAGATGATAGTTTCGACTTTGAAGAAGATAGGAAAGATGTTTATAAAGGCGATTTTATTGTTGCGAATGCGTATGGCAAAGCATGCGTTAGAAAATACGTTGCGATCGTCGATGATATATAAAAGAGAAGGGTTATGAAGTAAGGTTCCTCAAGAGGAATTTTCCCTCTAACAAATTCAGTTTTACGCTCGAATTTGTGGCAATAATTCTTTCAAAGAATATTGTGACTGTGATACCGAAACCAATTGAAGACAAGGGGCCAAGGTTTAAAGGAATGGTGTATTTTAATATTGATTATAACAAAGATACTATAAAGTTAGGACCTCCACCATAAAGTTCCTGAAACTCTTTAGTTGCTTTAAGTCAAAATAAGGTAGTGGGCAGAAATGTAAAGTACCAACAGGAACTATTTCGATACTCATGTTTCCACTAAAATGCCACGATACTGTAAAGTTTCAAGAGATGGTCACTGGAACTATTCTGGGACCTTTTTGCCTCTCTATGTACACAGTTACTTTATTTAAACTTATTAGTGGCACTGGTGGGTGGCAGTAACCGATTCACAGGTACTGTATAATTTTTGTTACTATGAAGTAACAATAAAATGATACTGAGCAGTTGCAGTAACTACCCAAATATTACTTTAACTTTGGGTGTTTACAGTTGTTCCAATAAATGGTATCGGTGTGGTAACGGTTAGTTTAAAAGACCATATAAAGTAGCCGTACCCAATAAAGTAGGAATATTAGTACCAGAGTGTACGCTAGGAAAACCGAAAGGATTTAGTACATGTGTGTTACTTGGAATGATTCGATGTCTCCCCAGATTATTTTAATGTAAATCCGGAGCTCGGAAAATGATCGTCAAACCTGGACACGTCAGATCACAATGATAGGTTTCTCGCATCATGTTGATTTCGACGCGCGAAAATGATTGATTTCGGTAGTGATTTTGGGATATCCGTGATAATTTCGGAGATTCCGCTTGATATGTAAGCGATTTCGGAGATTTCGAGTGAAAACGTACCAGTATTTAGAGAATGGTTCATCCCTCGAGTAATTCCTAGATGAACCATTTTATTCTTTTTATCTTTATAAGATATTATTCAAAATGGCCACTAACATCATTGTAAATATGTTTGTTAATAACCAATAATCAAGAAAATTCAAATTACAATACAAATTTTCCTAAAATACATTGTTGGGAAAGTAAAATCCCTATAAAAAAAATTAAGAAAATAAATATTGGCAAGATAAAAATAGGAATATTACAGCAGCCTAGAAGGGCCACATTTTTGAATTCCTTGTTTGAACCAACGACTTACATATTAAACTGGATAGTTATGTCATAAGCCCTACTCTTTATTTCTTAGCCGATGTGGGTGGGAAAAAAACGGACCGTGCGCATGACAATTTGGAAGCTTACTAGGGTGGTATTTTAATTATTATTACTGAAACATTTATTTTAGCTGCATATTAATCAGATACAATTTTTAAGTGACTTTCTTAATTAAAAGGTGTTGTAGCGGAATGTAATTTTGGATGTTCCCTTTCACTTCATTCCAATACGCTCATGTAAGCGCCAGTCTGTCAAATCGCACCTCACTATGTGGAGTGCTTTCGTTGATCGGCTTTGCACTTCAAGCTTAATATGTTGTTCAGTGGTTTGAACATGGCATTGTATATTCGAATTATATTTATTAATAGTATATTTACAGGTTACTTTTGGGGAACCTTGGGAAAAAAGGATCCTCCAAAAATCCTCTGATTTTCACGCTTGGCGACTTTTGCAAAGGGAGGAAGTCATATGTAGTACCAAAAGCCTCGCCCTTTCACCCCATTAATCATTTACTTAATGGTTTTCTATGAATTGCATTTCCAGGTCGCTCTTAACAATTTGAGGGGAGAATGTAGAAATGTTTAGCTCTTAGGGTTTAGTCCATGATGTCCGGATTTCATTTTAATCGGATAAAAATTATGTCCTGGCGTTTTCAATTTGGTATCTATATGCAAAAATGGTACTATAAAAAACTGATAGTGGACCTGTCCTAGCATTAATTTTTTACTTGTCTAATAAACATTTTATCGAATTTAAACCCCCAAGAGTAACCTGTAAATATATGCCATCAAAAATTGTAACTCGAACAGAAATATAAAAAATAAATAAAAAAATGTGGACCTTTTACGCTGCCGTAGATTATGTACTTCAATTTTTTTTAATTCCTTTAAAATATCTTTAAATAAAATAAGATCACAGGAACAGGAAAACATAAAAAATAGTAACTTCAGTACTTAAAAAAAAAGTATAGTATAAAACCTCAACTTAAAATGACAGTGACTTTGCTCTAAAATATTTGTACTAGATGTATTTACATCGATTTTTGTGAATTCTTTAAGAAGTTTCATCATTATTTAGATCGTGACGGAGAAACATTAGTATCAGGAGATCATTTTTTATATTGTCAATTTGTTTGTCATGATATGTCTCTCAATGGTAGTTTAGTGTCGTCATCTAATTCAAATTCGTTTGAATCAGTCCTTAAATGAATATACCTGAAAAAAAAAAAATGAAATTACTACTTTAAATATTATTTCTGAAGTATGCATAATTAGGCATTCCAACGATCTGTCAAAATGCTGACTGTGGGCATTGATAATATGGCAAACCTGTGGGCCTGTTGGCTTTGACAGGGTCAATGATCGGTTACCAAAAATGTATTTTAAAACCAATTTTGAGCCTTTGAATATAGTAAAAAATAATTACTTGCATTTTTACTTCAAGGCGTAATAAGCTTATGTTTATTTTGAAAAACATGGATGATCAATCTGTATAACTACCTAATCATTGACCCACCAGGTCCACAGGGTTGCCATAGCAATGCATACAGATCAACAATTTTTGTTTGTACTGCCTAATAAGAGGGGATATTGGTATCTAGTTAACTTGAAAAGGTTCTGGCAATGTATTTACATAGCCTAGTAGAACAATCTCAATGCAAATTATCTTGGAGGACAATGGACAGTAGCAATAGATGGCACAACCTCCATCGTGTTCAAGTCATGTTCAAGTCGTCATGTCTTTGATAATTTTGTCGAACGGTTGTCGAAACTGGATAACGAACGTAATTTCTAATAGATAAACCGATAGTTAATTAAGTGTGAACATTTGTTTTAAAAATAAGATACACGAGTTTTATTATTTTTGATGTAAATTTATTTACGATTTATCATCATTTTAGAGAATATAACATTAATTTAAATTTGAGAATATACCAAATGAATTTAAAAATAAAGAAAACTTTTATGTATATAGAATTATCGAGGGAGCGCTTGCAAATGGGCCAATTTTGATTAAGTTATGTACTTTAACAGATGTCGCGACAAGATTACCTCCAATGAAACGCCTGTAAGGTTGTTCTACTTAGGCTATCTAAATACAATGGTTCTAGTGAACAAAACTGAATATGGTTGCAAATATAATATTTTATTAATAAATTTGTCAGAGTTGGGCATCTATAAGGTGATAAAACTATGAGTTTTTGAAAACAGTGTTTATGGTGGGGGTTTCGCCCTGTGTAAATATCATCGGCTAAAACCGGTAGAGATGAACTGTATGTATTACCTTAAAATTCTCCTTATCTGTGAAAATAAAACACTGATGACAGGTACTTCCGTTTAAGGAAATTATTACACATTTATTTACAAATGTACAGTAAACATAAAAGAAAAGACACTTGCGTTAAGAAATTTAGTACTAGATACTAGTAATTGTTGCTTTGTACCTTTAGTTAAGTCAGAAGGTACGGTACAGATTGCCCTGTTGTTACATTTATGAGTACTTTTTAAGAACGATATGACTTTGTCGGAGATCAAAAGGTGACGCAGAGGAATAATAATTGTCTGTTGGAGGCAGCTTGCTGGATGGACAGTTGGATAGCAGCTCGACTCGATCTTATGTGTGAAACAGTGTTGCTTACAGACAAGGATGACATCATTGGACAAAACCTTTTTTATTGCGAAATATTTTTAGCTTTATTTGGTAAGACAGAGAACGGCCCTTTCTGGTATTTGAATATCGAAAGGTTTCCTAAACTCATGAATAATAGGTGTTCTATCCGATGGCATTCTTAACACTGAATTTTGTTTTAATTTCTTTAATATGGTGTCCTTTTCTCGAAAGTTTCCATCCAAATACATGTCTCCGCCATAGCCTTCTTCTACACAATCTCCACCACAAAGTGTAATGGAGAAAGACCTAGCAGTAGCTCGATTGCTGTAGTGGGCGTAGTTCTAAATGCCCGTGTTATTATTAGACAGGCCAGTCTTTGTACCTTATCTAATTTTCTGTTAGCTGTTATGCTTTTAGCCTTGTGCCATATGTCTGCTGAGCAAGTTATAACAGGTACTATAACCATGGTATAAAGCCAGTGCATCATACTTGGTTTAAACTCCATTAAGATCATCCGTCTACAGGCCCATAGTATTCTCACAGCTTCTTCTGTTGTTTTTTCCATATGGCTGCAGAAGTGTTATTCCAAAAGATTTGATCTCTGCGTAAGACGCTTTCCCAGGTTTGGGAATGAAGACAACTCTTGCAGACCTTCAATTTTGTAGAACATATCCGAGAGCTATGCTAGCTCGGAATAGTTTACAACAGTGGTCCTTCCAGTACTTCCTGGCCCTTTTGCAGAAGTGCCTTGCTTATACCATCAGGTCCAGCTGTCTTGTATGGTTTAATGGAATTTATCGCCCATACAAGTTTTGTTCTGTTTACTATTGTGTTTGTAAAAGACCAGTTTGTTTTTGAACTAGTGCCTTGACACTCCTGTTCTCTTGGTCAAGGTTAATCTCATATCCAGGAAAGTGTGACTTTAGTAATAAATCAACAGTCTCCTCCTCTGTGTCCCTGCTACATGACAGCTACGTAGCCGCCAGTAAAATGGGGAATCGCCGGATAGTATTTCAGCTAGTATCGGCCTCTATAGATGTGACTATGTTTAGTTTCTATAAGGGATCGGGGTAGTAGTGGGTACTGTACGGCGTCTCGGCGGCATAGTACGATAAAGAATTCTAATTAAAGTTATTATATTATATATAAAAATGTAATACGAGTAGATACGTTTCAAAGTATTTATAAAAATACAAGTTTTTCACACTGACGTGAGAAATTTCAAATAAAATTAATTATTCGGTAGGGCAAGATTATTTTATGCCCTTCAATGTATCAACAGTAACTTTAAAACTTTAAAAGATAAAGTTGTTACTTGGACAAATAGGTAAATATATTTTTTTCTTACTACTAAATTATATTTGTAATGTATGAATTTGAAAAATAAATAGATATCTAATATTTCTTAACTTTACTGACTTATTCTCGGTACGCCTATGGAGTACAAGTAATAAACGCAACCACAAAGCGATTTACTAAGAGATATCCTTTTTTACTTACACCACTAAACAGAATACTGCCAATTGTGTTGCGATTGTAAGATAGAATATATTCGCAGGATTAGTAGAAAGTGTTGCATTATACAGAGTATTATAAGCTACGCCAGATATTAATGGGACAGCATTATCTGCTACTCCAAGTACGGAAAAGGCCTTTCCTAAAACAAAATTAATTTTAAATACTTAATATATAAAAATGCAGAGCTAATATCAACAAATATGCAACAACAGTATGATAAATGATTTGCTTGTTACTTAATCAAAAAATGTCTAAATGCATTTAAATTGCTGCGACTATGCCTATTCTATGGCTCTAGTCTAGTGTCTACATTAATATTTTTTGTTTGTTTATTAATTGTATTTTTACATTTTCTTAACTCATTTTATTTCCTAAAAGCCTACTAAAGTAGTTTTCTTCCTCCTTTTCAGTGTTTACAAAACCTGTATAACTATATTACCCTAGTTTTTGGCTCGACCTATATGCCAATTTTGTTCCCAATAAGAATCTCCAATTCTGCTATTTTCACCTTAATGGTTGGACTGTGTCCAATATAAGGGGGGGGAAATATGATTTGAGACAACTTCAAAATCTAAGTCACAACTAATAATCACTTACCCTTTTCAGAGGCTGAAACAATTTTTGAAACAAGAGATCTGATAACAGGAGCTACAACAGGTCCAAAAGACGCAAACACTCCACCTGTAAATAAAAATTAAAAAAAAAAGGAATGAATTCTTTTAATTATTGAGTTGTCTAATTTATAGTTAGGTCACAATGTAGGTATATACATTTTATTACATACTAGCTCATTATTGCTTTTATTGCTCAGTTACCAATTACATAATATTGTACTTTGTGGTCTCTGAGGGCATAAAACACAAAAACATACGGTCTTTAAGTTTTTCTCATTTTTCTTCTTTATTTCTCAATAGTTATATTTTGGATAAAATGATGAATAAGTATAACAAAGAAATTTGTATGCAGCGTGTATCAGTTGATGTTAATGCTATGAGGGCAACAATCTTACAAACCTAAGGGCATTTGACTACTTAATACTACTTAATACCCTCGGAATATAAATGATTATTCATAATTTAACAAGATTCTTAAATTTTATAGAAAAGAAGTTATAGATAGAGAACTAAGATAGAGATTTGCCAGACCCTGTACATCTTAAAAAATTAAATTATATTTTATACAAAATATTTAGTTATCTATATTATTCTTGTGTTCAATTTAGTTGCAATACTGATTAAGTTTATCTATAAATTTTTCTCTTAGAAATAAATATTTAAAAAACTAATGCTGTAGGGTCAACAATTTCATAATCATATTTGTATAGAGAATTTTTAAAATATTAATATCTGAATGATTTATAGTAAATTTAAACAAAATTTAGTTTCATTACGTAGCACTTTTTGTTATTATTAACCTACATATAAAAGGCAACTGTTGCCTCATTGATATAAGAATAGGAAAAAGTATTTTTTTCTAATTTGACAAATAAAGTGACATTTTTATGAAATCGCAATTGTCAAAATGATTTACTTTACGCAAACACTTGCATAATGTTGAACAATGCGCTAGTTCGATGTGATATCATTTTGGTTCCACTGACATTTAATTCTAACCAAACTTTTAACAAAAACGTCAATAAATTTGACGTATACGTTTTTACTGTTTTTAGTTTATTTCTAAATATTTTTTACAGGTCATAAAAAATAGTTTAAAGGTATGTAATTGGTAACTAAACGATTGTATATTTGATGCATGTTATCTACTTACTTTAGGAATATATTTATAAAATTGAAGAAACGATATAATTTAGGTAAACAAAACGAACAAAACGCACTCAAAAAATCTACTGTCAGTTTAATTGTCAGTGCAACCATAATTATATCATCACTGAACTAGCGCATATAAAACTGGTTTCGAAAAATTGATTGTCACCAGTTGCGAAAACAAAACAATTCAAATAAACCTGTTTTGGTTTTAAAATCAATATATTGTTACGCAGCACCCTGCAGCGTCAAGGTACGAGTAAATGAAGAAGATAGAATAGTCCAGAAATGTCATTCCTTGTCAAAGAAAAGTCCGGATTGTTCTAGAACGTTGAGGCGAGCTATATAAGTCAACGACCTGACGTCAGAGTTCATTTTTATGATAAAGGTTAAACGTTAATGTTATGAGTTGGAGTTATTGTATCAGTTGTATAATTGTTGTTAAAGTTGAGTTGAAATAAATTGCGATACCAAAAACCTGTGGAACATTGGTGACAGCGGTGGGATATAAAGTAAAAGTTCATGGTAAATACTAGATCCACTGAGTACGAAGCAGGCATGGATACTTCAGGCCCACCAGCATGGTTTTTGAAGATGGAAGAGGAGAGAGTAAAGCGAGAAGAGGTAAAGGAAAAAAGATGAGGAGGAAACGGAAAGGCGTAGGAAGGAAGAAGAGGAGGAAAAGGAAAGGTGCAGGAAGAAGGAAAAGCTTAGCAAGGAAGAGAAGGAGGAAAAAGAAAGGCGTAGGAAAGCTGAGGTAGAAATTATGAACGGGTTGGCTACAAATCCAGGAAACCTTCAAGCAAGAGGTTGGTCAGCTTAAAATTAGAGTAGATCTTTTAGAGCAACAACAAGAGCATTTACAAACTAATTTATAACAGCAGCAAGAGCATTTAAAAACTAATTTAGAACAAATATGAGAGAATTTAAAACAACAGGAAAAGGCTAGAGTAGAGTTCGAAAGGCAAATTAGAACTGAACTAGTTGAGTTAGAAAAAAGAATTCGTAGCCAAGCTTCGATAAGCAACAGAGAAACTGAAAACACTACCTCGTCCTCATCTATAACCGAACCAAGCCATATCCAAAACCCAGTTTCACAAAGCCCTACAAGCAAGACCATTAAACCACCCACGTTTGACGGTCAGACAACATGGGAAACCTATCGACTCCAATTTGAAGCTGCAGTTAGAGCCAATGAGTGGACCGAGAAAGAGATGGCGGCTTCATTAATAGTGTCGCTGCGGGGACAGGCAGCAACCGTTTTACAGTTACTTCCCCAAGAAGAACACAGTTATTCATCTCTCGTCCAAGCTTTGGAGACACGATATGGCCAGCAGCATTTGAAACGGGTATTTCAAAGCCAGCTAAAGATTCGTAGTCAGAAACATAATGAGAGTCTACAGGAATTCGGGGCTGACATAAGAAGATTGATTCATCTGGCCTACCCATAGGCGTCTAACGATTTCCAAGAACAAATCGGAATACAGGCATTCATTGATGGACTACAAGATGCGGAAATTCAACAAGTCATTCGTCTACAACATCACAAGACGCTGAGGGAGAAACTGATTGCAGCCCAGGAATATGAAGTGGTGAAACTCATATCCAGATCTTCTCGCGCAAAAATAAGAGAAATTAAATTCCAGGAAAGTGAGGATGCCAATACTTATGCTATTCCCCAACCTACTCTCTCGCAAATATTAAATATCCTGCAAAATATGCAACGAAATAGTCAAAATGAGAACAGAAGATGCTTCAATTGCGGAAGAATCGAGCACATTCAAAGAACCTGTAGAAGCAGAGCTCGTTCTATAAATAGAAAATCAGGGAATAAGGCCGAAAAGTCACATAGATCAATCTTCCGAAGCCCGTCACAAGAAATAGTCACAGCAGCTATGCGTCCCGAAGAAGCCAATCACCCACACCGAGCCGGCTTTCTAGCAATAATCAGAAAGTAGAGCATCGTAGAAGCCGTCTCCACAGCAACGCAGATATTCTCTCCAGGCGACCCTGTTTAGAACGAGAATGCCGGTATAGTAAGGGGCTCGGAGAACGGAAGGAACCAGTTGATAAAGTTACCCTTCGGGCAACCACTATCAAACCAGAGGGCGATGAAGAAGAAATCACCTTTGAAAGCCTGAGAAAGGGGCAGAAGGAAGACAATGATTTAAAAGTTGTTCGAGAATGGCTCAAAAATAGTTACACCTACTTGGCAAGATATAGCCAAATACAGTGCAGTTATTAAAGGGTACTGGACTCAGTGGGATTCCCTGTATCTTCACGATGGCCTATTGAACCGAAAGTGGGAAAGCGCTGATGGAGTACATGTAGTCCGCCAAGTGGTACTGCCGAAATCACATGTCAGAAGTGTGTTGGAGGAGCTTCATTGTAGCCGTTCGGGAGGACATTTTGGTACTAAAAGAACACGAGTTTGGGAAAGATTTTATTGGGTCAATCGCCGACGGGATGTAGCGGATTGGTGTAAAAAATGTGATGTATGTAATGGCAGAACAAAGGTTTATGGATTCGCTCGGGAACGACTGAAAGCCAACAGCGATAAAGCAGAAGCTAGAATCGACACATTTTGAAAGAGGTGACCCAGTACGGCTATACACTCCCAAGCATCGAGGAGGATTTTGCCAGAAATCGTAACGGAACTGGGAAGGCTCCTACACCGTCCTTAAGGAAAATCAACGACCTGATCTACCGCATTTAGCTGTCAGCGGGAAGTAAATCCAAGGTAGTTCACATTGGGAAGTTAGCGCCATGCCGCCAGATCCTTCCCGTTAGCTCTAACCGGGTCCCAGTAGTCAAGTTATTCGGGGCGAATAACTAGAGAGGAGGGAGCAATGTTACGCAGCACCCTGCAGCGTGCTGCGGTCGTTATAAGTAAAGGTACAAGTAAATGAAGAAGATAGAATAGTCCAGAAATGTCTCGAAATGTCATTCCTAGTCAAAGAAAAGTCCGGATTGTTCTAGAAGGTTGAGGCGAGCTATATAAGTCGACGACCTGACGTCAGAGTTCAGTTTTATGATAGACGTTACATGTTAATGTTATCAGTTGTATAATTGTTGTTAAAATTGAGTTGAAATAAATTGCGATACCAAAAACCTGTGTAACATTGTCATTGAAAGTTTATATCAAAAAAGGGCAGGATGACTTATAAAAATATAATTTGGTTAAACTTACAACCTGGTAATAATGTAGTTTTGATATTTTTTTTAAATTCTAAATCAGCACAAAATAATTAAAACACAATACACGACAAAATAACCCACTTTCTTGAAAACTAAATAACTTTATCAAGCAATATAAACAAAATGTATATGCAACTAACAATACAAGAAAGTACTCGTAATATTGGTTGCCAAGATGTCAGTAAATAATCTAGTCAAAATTAGAACATATTGTATGTAACACGTTATGTTGAGAGTTTATTGTACATACCTATATAAAACACATAAGGGACTTGGGCAGTGACATAAAATATCCTAGCTGCTGTATGGGCAATAGCGCCAATCATTATAATTACTGTGTCTCTCAATCCAAGCAGCCTGCTCATTACAGGAATAGCAATTAACAGCATCACAGCTTGAAGACCCGATTGCACCGTTCTAAATTTACTAAACTGTTGTATATTCCAGTTAAAAACCAACTGACAATACATGTACATGATGTCCCTTTCGTCTCTTTGGAATGTATACAGTGCCATCATTAATATAAGCATCAACAAATAAGTTCGTTTTTGACGTAATCGGTTCTTACACATTACTTTGGCAGTATCGACTAGATGATTGTAATCAAAAAAGTCAAGGAACTTGTTGCTAACCTCCGAAAATGGACTTTGTCTAGAATTGGTTCTCCATTCTAGCCTTACTGATGTATATAGTACGGCAAATGCCATTAGTACGGTGTTTATAAGAAACATATAAGTGTAGGATTTATTTAGAACATTTTTGAATAAGTAGGATCCTAAAAAAAGAAAATGCAATATGTAACAAATTAATTACGTACTTGAACTTGTATTTTATTGTGTGGTTATGGTTTCGCGTATTGTTGAGAAGACTTTCGAATGTTTATTTGTATAGATTGAGGTAGCTTTTTAAACAGTTGTTTTAGCATTCAAAGTCTTCTCAACAATAATATACTGTACACTATAACTATATTATAATAATAAAGTACGTTCAAGTACTGGTACATAAAACTAAATTAATTGGAAAAATATAAAACAGTTGTGGTACAAAATTTGTACAGCGGAATGGACATTTAAAGTTGAATACTACTCTCCACATTGATAATTTATATCCTTCCTAATTTGTGGACTGTATGTATGCGCCGATTATTTCGATTTAAAGTTGTGTAGTTGAAATTAAAAAGTTATTCATTATACATCTTTTAAGGTTGGTTGGAAAATTAATCACATAGCAGTTTTATGTATGCTTCAATTTAGGAGTTAATACTAAATGCCGACATGGTAGCTCGGCGTGGATTTCCAACAAAAGCCTTTTGAGAGAGCTGCTGTTTCGGTTTGGTCGTCGATTTGTATCATGGTCTGAACCAATCATCGGCAAGTCGGGTCACGTGAGGTTAATCATGTATACTCGTATACGGTAATATGGTTTTCCTGTATCTAACGCCAACTGTAAAAGATTTTAAAACATTAATCTAGATGAAACTCTATGTACACAAATTCTTGAAATACTTTAACATATCTGCACAAACCATTTGTTCGTTTTAACATTTTTTGTTCCTTATCAAGTTTTACTCCTAACGTTATCTCTGGCATTTCTAGATTTAACCGAAGGTGATTACTTCACCCTCCCTCGCTGAAAGATATAGTCTACGTACGCCAACAGTTAAACCTATGGTTTATTAGGACAGTGTGCAAAGCTCGACGTATGCATACAGCAGAATCTGTAGCATTCGACTAACATGCAGAAAAGTATTTCAAGAATTTGTGTACATTGATTTCCATCTAGATTAATGTTTAAGAATCCTGTACAGTTGGCATTTTATATATAGGTCGTTTATTTTAATATGTTCTGTATGAAAATCCTATTACCGTATACGAGTATACATGATGTACAATATGGGACATTGCAAAATTATTTGATTTTCAAATGTAGCATATAACAGTTTTTCTAAAGCCGTTCCCATATCTAGTCGGTCGTAGCATGGAAGTGAGTTTTATGATAAAAGTTACCGCTCCTGTCAATATTCATACACAAAGTTGTAAATGTCAAACCTTCAGGCCTAATTTGCTTATGTTAAAGTAAATAATAAGTTGTGTTCGCATATGCATGAGAAGAAAGGAAACGATACAGTTTAACTTTAATACAACGTACTGGCTAGCCGACCGCCGGCGGTAGTTGAATTTAATAAAACGAAAACCGTCTTCCGACGGCATGGTCTTATCACATATAAGAAAGTCGCCGAAAATCTAAACTGATTTGTTGATGAGGGCGGCAGGCTATCAAAGTATTGATAAGGCCGCCGGGCGACGGTCTACTGTATTTGAAACATTAAATGCCGCCGGAAAAAACTCGCGTATCGGGAACAACACCAATCATTTGTAATTGCTGTGGTGGGAGGTGTTTGTGTGAATGCGTCTTGTTTGTTTTCATTTACGCCGTGACTAGCAGTAGTATTTTATAAACCTTAGAAGCAAATTTCACATACATGAACAAATAATAATAATACCGTGACAACAAGAAGACGAAGAAACGAGTTCTCGTAGGGTGGCGGCTTCGCCGCCACCATAAAATTTTAATCCATACCTGAAGTGCGTTTAGAAGAACGCATTTTAAATATCTAGGAAGATTAAGTCAAAGAAAAGTGTGGACAACATTTCGGGAAATTAATTGTATCCAGAGATAACAGGAGATGTAACTACAAACAATTATCGTGCTGTCGTGAAGAAGACATATTCTAAGGGACACAGGAAGGTACAATATCCGCTATTTCATTATTCTCGTTTTGTTTACTTATTTACATATCTTAAAAAAGCTAAAACAGTTCAACCTATTTTATTGCAACTGAACCCAAAAAAAAATTTGAATCATTAGTTTTATCAAATTTAACTAAATTAGATGTAATTTTACTAAATTAGATGTAATAATTTTTAATACAAAACCTAGTTAATGATAAGTTGGATACCAAGCATTTTGTACTAAATGTGGCAACAAAGCTTACATTTTGTATGTTGTTTATTATGGGCGTACAACGGCTTACACTTATCTATGGCTTACACATATATTCATTGATAAAATTGTTTTGTAGGGCCGTCAAATCCTTGAGTATCCCTTGTATCGATGTTGGCGTATCGGTATTGGATAGAACGATACCGATATTGATATAGGTATATCGGCAGTTGTTACCGATTATCGGTATCGTATCGATAAGATAATTGCCGATAAATCGGCAAAAAAAATGTTTTGCGCTTTTTACTCTTTTCAGTGCATAAATGAAATACTATGTTTATCAAAATAATTTTTTTTATTCCAAAGGTAACATTTTTATTTGAACTCTCCATTTAAATAGAATATTTTTATTCATTATTTATTTTATCTCCTCTAATTAACAGTCAAGTTTAAAACACCGTGTTTTAAAGCACTACAGAATATAAGAGGCTTCCCCCGTAATCCGAAATGTCAATCACTTCCAATCACAAACGTTTCCTCGCAACGAAATTATTAAACGGGACTTCCCCAGTTTTTGCTTCGGTCGTGTATAAATAGAAGGCGTTATGTTTGCCGATATGATATATCGGTATATCGGCAAAAAAAGTGATATTATATTTTATAAATGAATAGCTATATTTTCTGTTATCTCTGACTGTATCCCTTTCACAATTAATGTGTTCAAAGCACTACAATTTCAAGATTTCTTCAACGAAAGTTCTGCACATTATTTAAGTTGGACAGGATCGTATTGGATACATTTTTAAATAAATTAATGTAAGTTTCTTAGTTTTGAGTTTTTTTGAAAAAAATTGTTCTTATTAATGACTTCTATACACACTTATTTCCATTTTCAAATAAAGAAATAATAATTGAATTTTATTATGACAGAGATCAGGATTCGAATAAATTGGTGTGGTGGTTTTAGTTCTATTGTATTTTTCTGAATATTTCAAAATTTATTTTTAGCAAATCATAAAATTTTAATAAATTCACAAAAGATGCTAAAGAGATTATTTTTTTTTGCTGGTGATAAATGAACTGAAGAATGCCAATGTGCATGTTGTGTCACTCTATGGGTGCAGCCATTTTTATTGTTCGTCTCTATATAAGGTGAGTTCGGATTAGTTAGGGGCTATAACGGGACAATATTTTCCCTTATTTAATAATATAAAAGAAATTTATTATTACAAATGTTCTTGTTTTTTGCTTCATTATTTTTTAACAATTTTTACATATTAGTTATTGTCACTGTAAAATTATTAGAAAATATCAGTTTTATTTTATTACTTGATGAATACAACTTTTTAAATTTTAAGAACATATCTATTTAATGCTTGATGATATTATCGATATCAAATAAACACTTACCTAAAGCTATTCCTGATGGCATAGTAGACAAGTAACAAACTTCTAAAATAGTTACTCTCATAGTTCTATATTTGACAGATGATACATCAACTAAGTAAGTAAAAGCTGCTGCAAATATGGCAACGTCTGCTCCTGTCAGAGCACTTGGTAACGTGGCAGTGAAAATTACGTACTCGAGAGGCCAATCAGGTTTTAGAGTATTAACTACAATCATGGCAGAAAAAAATAGTTTTCCAGAGAGTCCAATAAGCAATGGTAATTTGCGACCTCTTTTGTCTGACCAGGCACCCATAAAAAGAGCTAAAACTATAGGAATGGCGTGGCCTGCTATATTGTTCCATACATGGAATTTTACAGTGGTAGCCTAAAATATTTTTTCAAGAATTATAAGTTAATAGAATATGATACTTTTATACAATAAAAGAATTAGAAGTCGACAAGTTTCATTGTGAAAAATAAGATACGATCCACAAAAAATGGTTCTAAAGTAAGCCATGACTGACAAAGACTGATATATGAGTAAAGTCCATGATAATTACGCATGGCTCTGAATTAAATCCAAACTGACATTTTTAAAGTAGAATAATCGTACATTGTGACATGCACTCAAGGTCTACTTTAGAAACATTTGTTGGGGATGTTCCTCATATTATTTATACAGGGTGTTCCATTAGTGTGTGGAAGTCCAATATCTCGGTTGTTTTTAAAAGCTTGAAAACATTGAATTTAGACATATTGTGTTTTAGACAAAAATACTTAGATTTTTCAGTAGAATTCAAAAATAAAATACATTTAAAAAAAAATATTTTTGTCGCCTTGCCTTTTGGAAAATATTTTCACAATATTTTCTATGAACTGTAAAACTTTTGTATTTGAGTTTCTCGTATTTTTAAAAACAACCAACTAATGTAAGTGTACATCATTAATTATTTCTCGAAAAAAATTCTCAGGCAGTTATTTCTGATGATGTACATTTTATGCAAATTTCACCTCTTATTTTAACTCTTGTTGGCAAAGTTAAGAAAAAAAAGGATTAATTTAATATTATTAACATTTTGCAATAACACTGCTTCCTCTCGTTTCATGATATATGTACGAAATTGTTTAACACATAGAATAGCCTTCAAGATCACCGGATTTCATTCCTTTAGAATTATTTTGTAGGGTTCCTTTAAATTTTGAACAATTCATACATTAAATCTTGGTTAAAATAAACTGTAAACATATACTAAGTAATAGACCAGTGCCATTCTTATTTTGTACCTAAAATTCATAATTAAAAATACTTTCAAATGAGCTACTACTAGAGTTCATTTGCACTTCAAATGTTCAAAGTGTTGAAATAAGGGGAGACATTTACAAAAAAAATGTACTTTGTCAGAAATAAAAATCTACTTGCCTGAGGGAATTTCTCGAAAAAATTTACCGTAAGCCAGTTAATAGATTATGTGCATGTGAAATGTCCCTCATTATAGACGATACATTGTTAAATGCTACTTGCATGGCCCACATCACAGGTGATCATGCATCCCAGACATAACCGGAGACTTACTGCTTAATTGCGCACAAGTTCATGGAAGCACTAACACAGATTAATTTGTAGAAATAGCAATAGTTCATTTCTTTTAGTAGAACTAAATCACAACTTAAAAGGGAATCTTTTGTTGGTACACTTTCAATGAGTTTGGCAAATTGGCGGCCACATTTATTATTTAGTTCAGGAACTGTAAAAGATCCCTTTCAAATAGTTATTTACATTATTTCTAAAATCTATGTATAATTTCATAGTCTTACAATTTGATATTTAAAACCATATTTAAATTAAGTGTGTCAAGAAAGCTAATTTTAAACATATAAAGAAGCAATTAAAACTTAAGTACTGGTAAAAAATAACTACATGAATATACGAGCTCCATCCCGTTACAATTGGCACATTTACTAAAATTTTTAATTTAATTTAAAAAATGTTTGAACAGCGAAATGGCACTGCATATCAAAATCGTTGAGTTTGGATTCCTTCCTTCAATTATTAATAATATTCCACTATTAGAGACATTAAGGTATAAAATGAAAAAAACAGTTGGGTGCAGCCTGGCCCTGGCAAGATCAGTGCCAGAATTTAAAGCAAATATTTGAGAAATATACACCCAAGATTCTCAAGAGCTTGTAAATGCAATGCCCCAAAGAAAATTATTGCCATTATCAAAGCTAAAGGTATTGTAACACAGTGGTGAAATTTTGTAATATTTACAAAAGTCTATGAAAGTTGTCATCTAAAATATTTCTGATATATAATTATTATTGATTTATTTAAAATTTATTGAAAACAAATTTAAATTGTTAAATTATTTAAAGAAAAATAAAAGAGCATTTATCAGATTAATGTATTTGTTTCGGATATGAAGACTAGAGATAAGGAGGCGAATCGGCCTTGGCCAAATTTCAAATTTCCGTCCCTATTTTTATGGAGTTCTAAAAAACTACTGTAGTTGGCGGGTGGCAAAATAACGACGTCTATTTTCTATGCAAGTCAATGGGAATTAAAGTGATTTTTGTAAAATTTAGTGAAAATAATAAAAATAAGCTGAAATAAAGAACCTGACTACAAGTAACAAAAAACGGCAAAGCAGGATTTGCTTCGTTCCGGGTTGAAAAACGGGATATAAATCCGATATAAAATTAAAGAAAACACAAGGAGATAAAAATCCAAGTCTTTTTAAAGCTCCTAGTGTAAGTAAAATAATGTATTTATTTCTAAATAATATATATTTATTGTAAAATAGTCACAACCCGTATCTTACGGAGTGTAGTTTATTTAATTACAAAATTCTATAATAAAAAATAATAAAGTCATAAATACTGACTTGCAAACAACAATAATTACACATTAAATTTAACTTACTAGAAAAGAAAATTTGCTTTTTTTATGTTTTTTGATGTTACTACTGTTATTTTTCTTTATTGAACTCCAATTTAGTCATTGCAAATATTTTTTATAGGATCCTAAACGTTTAGAACAATGGCAGCATGTGATTCCTAGGGCTGATAAAGTACTGTCCAGTTATGTTTTGTTTGCGAGTTACACTTTTTAGAAGATGATATTTTAAAATTTGATGAGACTATTTTAACTAATGGTACTGTTAACAAAATAAAAAGGGAAAGGCCGAGATTAAAGAATGAAGCAATACCATGTATATTCCCGAATCTCCCTTCATACTTGTCCAGTATTAGGAAAAGACGAAAACCACCATTGAACCGAACTGAATAAAAAAAAGAAAGAAAATACTAGAACCTATTGCTGAAGAAACTATTCACCAGGATGATGAAATTGTAGTTGTCGAATTCAAAATTACCACAAAACTGTTCTTACCAAATTTCACCATTTAACAAACCTTTTCAAATTTGGTCATTCATATCTAATTTTCATTTTATTTAGATAAAATTAAATAATGAATAGTAAATAATGTTTAACATAAAGACTCATTTATAATTAATACCAACAGTATTTTCTGTACTTTAGTTAGCAATTAAAACAAAGACTTATTTACAATAATTAAAATCAACAGTATTTTCTGTGCTTTAGTTAGCAATAAACAATTTGATTTTTATTATTTTCATAAAATTTTGTAAAATCCCTAACTAAATATTTTCATTTAAACCGTGTCTTAGTATGCCCTCAGCCCTATTTAGCTTTAACTAAAAAATAATTAGCCCTACCCATCAAATTTCAACACTTATCATCAATAATTTGCATTTTACTTAAATAGGAATAAATAGTAAATAATGTATCAATTAGAATATGTAAGACTTATTTAGAAATAAATACAACAGTGTGTTCTGTGCTTTATTTAGCTATAAACAAGTTTATTTTGATTATTTTGACAAAATTATGTATAATTCCCATAAGAAGCCATGTATTTTGAACTACGTAAACTGTACCAGCGCCCATGCGGTTAATTATAAAAGTTCAATTGACTTGTGATTTTTGGGACCGTATTTTGAGCATGCTGATTCGCCTCCTTATCTCTAGTCTTCATAGTTTCGGAAAATGTCAGTCAATAAATTTTGACAACTGTGCCAACTGAAGTGGGACTGGGCTCATATAGATTTGTAATGGTTTTGAAAGTTTAAATAAAACTTACAATTTTCAATTTTTGCATTCAGTCCACATAAATCTTATATAAATATAGGAATGCAACCTTAAATATTTCCAACTCAATACTTTTACAAACATGTCAAAGTATTAAAAACTTTAATTTTCTTATTAACATAAAGTTTTCTTAAACTACTAAAATAAAGGACTGTTTAATCAGCCTGATTTAGTTTTAAGCATTAACATTGACAAAATTTAAATTCAATACATTTTAATGTACCTGTTTATACATAATAACATAAGCATAAACATAGTGAAAATAATTAAAATCCAACTCAATGTTTATTTTATGTCAAAAATACAATTGTGCATTTAAGAAGTGAGGATAAGCTATTGTCCTAACTTTAAACTTCTAAACTTTTCTCTACAGCTTTTTATTAATAATAATTGTATAATAGTTAGCAGAGCAACTTCGTAAGCAGCTACCATATGTCTTTTTTTCAATTTTTAATGATTTTGATTGGTCAAAGTTTATGATTAAATTTTCTGTATGAACGGTTTTGTTTTAAAATCCTTAAATCTATTTTTACATTAATGTCTATGTTAATACTTAAAAATAAATCAAACTGACTAAACCCACCTTAATTTCAATAAAAACTCGAAACGGAAAATGGGAATTTTTATTATTTGATTTATTACTTAAAACCTAAGGCCTTTAAAACGTTAATCAATAAAAAGTCAAAGTAAAATAAATCAACTTCACAATCAATTAACTATACCTACTTGTACTTCTTTAGTATAATTTTTAAAATTTGGTTCATTTAAATTCTCACAGATTGTTGCATTAAAACCATGATTTGCAATGCAAGCTTTATACACATAAAAGGATTGTTCCACTACAGTGGTAGTCATAAAAGCCATCATATACAAAACTAAAGTGGGTTCCACTGTTATGTACCCAAGATAGTGGAGGAACTTATTTTTATAAATATTTGTCCTTTCTTCTTTCATCTGAAATAGAAAAAATTAAATAAAAGCATGTTCATATATCATGTAAATCAAAGCAGAACATGAGTAAAGTTAGAAAGCAAATTAAAAAATATATTTTAATCAATATTTCGTTAAAGAGCATATACTTTTTATTTTTATTAAATCATTGTTAGATATCATTCCAGTGACTAGTAATGGTGATTTTACATAAATTAGAAATAAATTATATTTGGTATTAGTAGAGGTTACAAGCAAAATAGGAGTTTATTAGCAATTGAATTACCTATATTTTTTATTTCATCAGTTTTATCAGTTCTATTAAAAAGCAAAAGTACATTTAAAAATGTGTAAATTATTAACATCTTAACTCCAGATATCACAATCACTTAACACTTCTTTATTTACACTTATTACATAACATGTATTCTACAGACTTTGCATAAGAATAAATTAAAATACAGTTTACATAAAGTACACCAAACACTTTCCTGAGCGTAAGTAATTCCAATTAATTTAAAAATAATAAAACAATGAGCTGCTCTGCTAGTATATTAATTATTGCCATTTAAAAGAATAACATACTACTAATAATTTAATTATACTTAAATATTAGTTACTTTTTTATTTATACATTTCTTCGTACATTTAAACCATTTGAACACTAACTACAATTGCTGTCCTAATTTTAAAATAAAAAATAACATTAAAAAATTAAAAATTTGAAAACAAACCGAAAATAAACCGAAAACCGATGCATGGTTAAGTTTCATCTTCTTTTTTTTTAGAAATGGGTAGCCTTTTACTATATGTATATGGTGGCCGCATTTACACATGTTTGAAGTTAAACAAAAAAGTATTTTTCGCGGCATAAACCAACCATGAAGTTTAAATTACTAAGCAAAGATTAAAAATGACATTTTTACATTAACTATGTTTTTTCGTTTAACACAACGGCGAAAACTGCCCTTAGACTAGAGATGACAGAGATATAATAATTTTAGTTTTTCTATGATATAATCATTCATTGACAATAGTATATTATTAAACGAGCAAATAATGGCCATAAATTGCGAGTCTACTATACTTTGTCCACGACCATTATGGTTTCTTTATTAAATAAAAGTTAAGTGTAGAATGGAAAGTTTTTATTAAACATAGGTAACTAACTGTTGTTTCTTCCACTTTTCAATTTTTCGATTTTCGATTTTTCGATTTTTTGATTTTTCGATCTAGAAAATATCGTTATGAATAGTATCGCCTATCTTTAGTTATCTACCGGAATGTGCCAGAATTACAAAAGCGTGAATTATCATAATTCACTCCGTGATATATGGGTACTATGCTTTTAGCTAGGAGGTAGAATATTGATTTATTATTAAGTGGTCGTGGACAAATTATAATATTCACGATGCCAACATTAATTCGACAATCGATACACTCTATATTTATAGACGCGGGGCTAGGAGACGAAAGCCATAGGTAAGGGAAGGTAAGTTAAAGCAATGCCAACAGCGTATACGTATCTATTTACGTCTGACGTAAACGTACGTGTTCTTACGTATGCCTAAACACATTCGTATCGAGCCGAGCAAATATACTTCGAGAGCATTCGATCGCACCCGATTAATAAAACGAATGACAGATTGTAACTTATAATGTTATGTACTTGCCAAATTCTGAACCATAATATGAAATAAGATTCATTTGTAATTTATATATGCACAAAAAATATTTCAGAAAACAATTGCTAGAATAATTTGTTGTAATCATATTTGGCATGCCAAAAGAGCCCTAACAAGTCTAATTATGTCCCTTTTTAATCGAAAGACTCTTTCATTCAATTTCAAACAGGAAATTTAATCTCTAACATAAAACACCTTTATTTTCCAAATTTTTTACATTATGTAGAATTTGTAACCTTTCTGTTATTAAAATTCCCCAAAATCAAAATTTTCTCTATAAATAATAATACTTTTCTCAAAAAGTACCTACGGTTATAAAGTTGTAGATATGATAACGTCAATGTTTTTGCTTTAACTAACTTTTTCTTTCAGAGATTACACGTTAAATGTATTGTCAATTTCTACGTTTACGTCAGAGAGATACGCATACGTATCTAGCATTGCTTTAACACTCTAATAAATGTGTAAGCCGCTGTGCGCTTATAAACAACGTAAATATCAATGCCGGTGTAAGCCCCGTTGCCACTTCCAACCTAACATGAGTAGGTTTTGGAATTTATTGAAAATTATTACATCTAATTTAGTTAAATTACACATAATTTAGTTAAATTACACATAATTTAGTTAAATTTAATATAACTAATGATTCAAAATTTTTTGGATTTAGTTGCAATAAAATAAGTTAAATTATTTTAGCTTTTTTAGTATATGTAAATAATTCGTGTCTTATTTAGGACCGCACGATATTTGTTAGTAGTTACATCTCCTCGTTATCTTTGCCTTAGACCAATCAGACATGTCTAAATAACATAATCTATCAAAAAAATTTATGTTGATTTATGCCGCGAAAAATACCTTATACAAGGTGTTTCTTTATAAGTTTACTAGGTACAACATACTTGGTTACATATATCTCGATGGTTACATATTGTGGTAAGTGTTCTGTGATTGTGGTTATTGTGATGAAGTCACACATGCCCTGGTAACCCTATTATTGAATGTCATATGTCAAATTTAAGTTTGGGCCCGGTGAATGACATTTCATCGTGAGTTTGGGTAAGCGGATTTAGAATTTTAGAAATTTTAGGATATTTTGATTTTGTTATTTTTTATTATAGTATGTAATAGTAAGCTTATAAATAAATACCTCGGTTCCCAAACAGCACAGTACGTCTTAAGTACGTACAATTTTGGTACTGTACGTACAGGACGTAAAATGTACGTTTTAAGTACGTACACAACAGTACGTACCAGTACGTATAGAAAAGTACGTACTAAGTACGTACCTAAGGGTACGTAATCCTGGTTGCATACCTATTTTATTAGAAAAACCTATGTGTTTACCAAATTTCTGTTGACCGTAGGCCAAAAAATGCAAAAAAAAGACGAAACCCAATTTATTTAACCTAACCTAAACTCTAAACTAAACACGCTCGTTTTTGTTAGTTTTTCATGTTTAGGATTTAACTATTAAGTGTTTCATTAAATAAATAGTTGTGTATAATTTATTATGATTGAACAAGTTTAGTGCGTGTTATAAGTACGTAGTTTCGTCATTTTATTCTGGTGAGTGGTTTCATTTTAATTTTAAAAAATTATGTGTAATAAATATAATTTATAGATATGTCATCCCATCCCATAGTAAACATTACAAAAATGCTACAAAACAATTAAAAAAGTTTAAGGAAATGAAGAAACAGGAGGTATCTAATATTTTAGACAAAAGAAGTGATATTTTACAGACCCTAATAATTTAATTTTGGATTTTGTCAAAAGGACTATTGCTGGTGCCTTAATACGATAACTAATAAGCTGGCAACAAATTATAATTGGCTGCAGTTGAAGTGGGTAAGATGTTTTAATTTTTTATTTTTGCATGCCAGTTTTCATAAAGTCGTTGCATTAAAACCCATCTATCTAGTCACAATTATTTTTGTATCTAATGAAATTGTGTACTTCCAACCATTGGACTTCAAAACTGATGGAGATCTAGCTTAACAAAAAGAAATATAGGACTTCCGATATTATAGAACACTGGCAGGAACGAATTGGATTTCAAAGGCATAAGGCCAAAACAGGTGGATACAAATAAGAGAGGTTTGGATCCAGGAGTATATTGACAATGATAATTTTGAGCTGTAGAAACTATCGCTTACTTTACTCTACATCTTTTTGTTGTATTGTTTTTATTATATTGTTTATTATAAAAAGTAACAAAGTTAAGTTTCTAATTTGATATTATTTCTTTGCAGAAGGTGCTATAAAAAGTAACAAATATAAAGAGAAGAAGTTTGTAGAACAGGAAATTGTGAGATGGCTAAGAGAAGCTGATGATAGCAAAACATTTTAAATTATTCTTATAATGTAAAAAATTAAATAAATACAAATTAACTTGTTTACTTTTCTTTTTATTGCACTAATACGTACATTATACATCATAAGTAAGTACCAATAAGGATGTAAAGTACGTCTAAAATATATACTCTATTGGAATAAGTACAAACATAGTACGTACATTATGTACGTACAGAGTACGTACATTATGTACGTACAGAGTACGTACATTAGGTACGTACAGAGTACGTACTTTAAGTACGTACTAGGTACGTACCGTCGTTTGGAAAATGTACGTATTATGTACGTACTTCGTACAGTAAAGTACGTACATGGTACGTACTTTACGTCCCATCAGTACGTACATAGTACGTCTTATGTACGTAAGTGTGTTTGCTGGGTTACATATGACGACGTCAGAATAACCAAACCTTATAAAGAATTGCTCTGGTTACATAAGTATGTTCTAGTTCAGCCATACTTAACCTGCGGCCCGCGGGCCGCATGCGGCTTTTTTGTGCAGCTCCAAACACTATATTATTGAAGGTGCTTTTTAAAATTATTGTTTTTGTTTTTAAAATTTTGAGCGAAATGCGCAAAAACATTAACATTAAGCGATAAATATCATGCTATCATTTTTATCGTTTTGTGTTTTAGAAATCCCAATTAATTTTAAATGGTTCACCTACACAGTCCTTTTTTGAAACAATTTGTCTTGCGATGTTTCAAAGTTTATTAAAACAACATGAGGAACTTTTTGTTAGAACATATTTAAACCGGATCTCTACCGTCACCCATTGTCCTTTATTTACATTTCAAAAAGGTGGCAATTCTAGTTATCACCCAAAAATATTGTGGCCCGTGTAGCATTACAAACAGATTTATGTGGCCCGAAAGAAAAAAAGGTTGAGTACAGCTGTTCTAGGTAGTATGTTGTGGTAAGCTTATATATGAAGCGTATAAAGAAATGCATATAGTAGAGGATCCAGTGATACTTTTTTGATA